GCTTGATAACAACCATCTAAAGGCAAATGGTTCTATAAATTTCCTTGACGAGATACGTCTAGCAGGACAGAGTTCGGCGCCCCTCAGCAAGCGCTGCTTGGCACTTTCGGAAGCAGGTACCCTTATAGGGTCCTATCAAGCTGCAAGATACCGACCCGGGCGATCACCGCGCCCGCTCGCCCACAGGTGTCTGACCTATGCTGATGCGAATCGCTTCATTTGCGAAGTACAATAAGGATTTGGATTGTTATGTAGCGGCTGCAGTGCTGCACCGATACATGAGTACATGTACGTAGCCAGATCTGCCGTAGCGATTGTTGGCACGATGCCAAAATCGCTCCATAAGTCGTATAAAACAAAAGCTTTTTGGAGACTTTTGACCGTTTCACTTCGCTTTCCCGCCATTTTCCCCACTATATGCCACTTGTTCTTCCATTTCACACCGAGTACCAAATTATCGTGCCTTTTTCTTTCCTACGTGTACTCTCATTTATGTAATGTAGTTGTTAATCAGTAGCGGTTGCAAACTCTTTACTATTGTTTTTACTGGATACATATACACACGGTAGTTTATCAAGCAGCAGTAGCCTTGGTGCGCTTGACCGCCGCAACAACACGTTTCCGTGATGGACATTTGCAGTAGTTTGCATCCTCACCAGGTCCACCCTAAATGCGTAAGCGTTAGCATAGTGCTTGAAGTATTATTGAAATTGACCCCTCACCTCATTGGCACTAGGTCCCATTGGACCAGGAAAACCGGGATTTCCGGGCGATCCTGGCTCACCAGGCTCTCCAGGTGGTCCCATTGGTCCATTGCCACCATCACGTCCCGAATAGCCTGGCGGCCCTGCTGGTCCAATTTCACCAGTTGGTCCTTTCGGTCCAGCAGCACCCTTTTCGCCTCTTGTACCATCGTTTCCAGGTGGTCCAGCTTCTCCCATGTTTCCAGGTTTCCCTTCTGGTCCATTTTCGCCTGGCATTCCTTGCATTCCTGGACTTCCTGGGCGGCCTGGTGCTCCTGGCATACCTTCTTCACCCTGGAATCATTAACAGTATAGCACCAAGGAAACATGCTTGACAAGTATGTTTTTGTATAGTGTGGTATGAGTTCTTACCATTTTACCAGCCTCTCCTGGAGGTCCCATATATCCTGTTTGACCCTTTGGTCCGGGTGGACACTGTCTGCAGTTACTTGTCTGCACTATCTTGATTTGATCACGAGCGATTCCTACGATGCCGATCTCTCCAGGAACCCCAGGCGCACCTTCAAAGAAAATAAGCTAATTATTTCCCCTGATAAAACAAATGAAAATATTGAAAAACCTACCAGGGTCACCATTCAGGCCGGGTTGACCAGGCATACCTTTAGGACCGGCTGGACAAGCATTTCCTACTTCGCACGCTGAAATTATCAAATGTTATTCACTTCATCGTTTTTGTCATCACCAAACAACATCTCTTGCACCAAGCGACCAACCCGAGTCAATAAAGGGTTTGCTGAGCTGTGAACGAACTCGATCGCGCTGACCAAGCAATTCCCTATTAGTTAATAACTACTGTTAGAATTAATTATAACTTACTGCAAGTGCCTTCAGTAGCTTGACGTCGTTCACGTTGAGTGACACCGTTAGCTCGAATTTTCTTGAACTCCATACGAACAGCTGTCTCTACCTCTTGGAATTCGTCGTTATGTACCTGTAACTAGTTGCAGATTGCTGACAGCTGGACGAAATTATAGGACCATCTCCTCTATCTCTGTATGGCCCATTCTGCTAGGTCACAAAAGGAACAGTCTTGATGCTGGGGCGTTTAAGGGAGGCTGGATTTGACGCGGCACCAGTGATGATGTTGGTGGGGAGTGTCTGGGGTCCTGGGCTTGGCGGGCTGGCGCCGTGCCAAGCCCAGGACCCCAGACACTCCCCAGCGTCTGCAGTGAAAATGACTGTATGCCCATGCGAATGACAATAAAACGTAAGAGATAAACCTAAACTAAGAGATAAATAAACCTTCATGGAGTCCAAGACTGTGTCGATCTGGCTTAGCATGTAAGGAATATAGGACAGAGTAGAAATGATGGCAATGCTGGACAACCCGATGGCTATGAAACTGGACGATCTTGTCGAATCCATTTAAGCTACCTAAAGTAAACAGTAAGTTTTTCCAAGGGCTTGAAAATCTCTCCAGCGCACGGAACTGCTTTGATGGTAATTATTCTTATGCTAGTAAGTTATACAGAAGTAGAAGCTTTAGTGAGCAGTATGATCACGCTGAGCATCACAATAGTAAAGAAAAAGGGGGAAGGAAAGATAATATTCTAATCAGTAAGATATACACCAAATTCGACAAAATTACATAAAATAAGTAAACAACAAAGTTAACAACAATGAGTATAAGTTAGTGTAGTGATGAGAAGATGATGATCTGTTTGAACTTAAGCCGTAAGTAAATCTACGAAAGCTACAGTGGCTCCATAATTTTCGGACTTTTCAGCCCTAGCTGTTGAGCAGATCAAACAACAAATAATTGAACAACAGAAAGCCAGCAGTAGTAGCTTGTTTTAGCATTTATATAGCGATGCGATAAAGCTATGCGCGTAATGAATGCGATGTGGCTACCAGTTCTCGTGTCATACTAGTTTTTTTCTATGCTTAGGACGAAACAAAACCACTCTGACGAACAACAACAAAGCGCATAGCTGCTTTCAGTGATCTCATTGATGAGGCATAGCAGATAAAGGGTATCATAATAGGCTATACGGTGAATTCTTTGTAAGAGAATATTTTCAGGGAGCAGTACAATAGTGGGCGGAGGAGGTGTAGTGACAAGTGGCGCGTTTAACACTCACGCGGCCCTGGGTTCAATTCCCGGGTCGACTTCCGTACTTCCGCCCAAGCCAACTAAGCCTTCTTTCCTTCGGGGACGATAAATTGGTACCAGTTTCGTCTGGGAGGATAAAACACTGACTACATCGGCTGGCCACCGCAAGTATAGGCCACATCGCATTCAATAAGCCACTACGATTCTGAATGGAAGTAGAATGCGTGCCGCATCCCACAAAGGGATTGATCAAAGCGAAGACTTTCATCCCTTTGTCCTTTTAGTACAATAATGTTGGGTTGGAAGGTTATGATGAATGCTCATCCGAACTTGTTCTGTGTGTCTACCCACGAGAAGAAAAGTGAAAGTTCAAACAAAGATAAAGTGTACGCTAACCTCCGCGGATCGTTTTCGCCATGTGTGAGGTGAATGGGTCCGCAGTTGCAGTAGCGTGTACTCGGGTCCCTTCTCCCTATTCCACCCACGCCATTCTCAGGGCATAGCACTTGCGCCAATACGAAAATCTCGCACCGACCGCACCGTTAGAGGTAGAGAAAAACCAGATGTGAGAGGGCACAGACAAGCGCGCGTTTGGCCACGATCGGGCGTGTGGCTGGCTCTGCTGCAGCGCGGGAGGAGTATGGGTACGACACCTATGTAGTACAATCGTCAGCCCTGTTGCCGTGCATGACCGGAGAAGGTAGCGCCGCAGCTGCGGACCCATCATCTCGCACAAGGAAACGGCCACCCTTGGAAGTAAGCGCACCCTTGTCTTTAAAGACAATTATCGCGATCAAGTATTGCGGGCAATTGTACTCTGTCATGCACCAGTATTCCATAGTTAGCTTCTCAGTAGAAAAAGAAGCAGAAAAATCTTCGGGAACACCTTGAACCCAAACCTACCTTTAGCAGTGGGGGCGGGGCCTGGACGAGTGTGCCGGGCGTGGCTGCCAGAATTCGATGCGGCAGCCGCAATTGCGTCCCAACTTTCGAAATAGGATACTTTCGAACGTAAGGCAGCGTTCATACTTGTAGCCGCTTCGCAACGTACTGCAATTTCCAACGATGGGATGATTAGAGTTGCTTACAGAGAAAATTGGGAAGGTTGCTGGAGTTTTCTTGAGAAATTGACAAGAAAAAAAAAGAAAGAAAATGACAACAAACCCCACTTGACAACAAATCTCCCTACCATTGGAAAAGCAAGCACTACATTCCATAAGCAAAAAAAAACTCTAATGGTTCCGCACTTTCACACATGTTTACAAGCCTGACCGAAGTAAGACCTTTAGCTGAGCTATGAGCCAACTTTGGCAAAATGCCAGTGGGACCGCGGGCTTAAAGGGACGCGCGGGCTTTAAAGGGACGGATGCAGTTCGGGACCAGACGCCTCGTCCACCTACCGTCTCCGTGAGCCTAGCGAGCCTTGTCGAAATTGCGATAACTTCCTCATCGCGCGCCATTGATGGATAAAAGCGGGATCATCTTCATCAAGGCGCAGAGGGTTCCAGAAGGCGCGAAGTCATTTTGAAGGCCTCTCGAGCGCGGATACTGTCTTTAATGTACGAAAACAAACGGTTTTCCGGGTGCAACCCTCATAAAAGCTAGTCTAGATATTTAGGTGTGGGTCAGGATTACTGGTCACATTCATCCATTCTACCTGGGGACTTTGGCACGCATGACCGTTACATTGTGGCTGAGTCTTATTGTTAATATAGCATGAGGTCCTGTAACCAATCCGGACTAAACATCACATCCTTGAGTCGTGGAGGGCGTGGCTGTACCTTTTATTTGCAAATAGCGTAGGATGGATCATTCCTAGGATGTATCAAAATGAGACAAGTGTCCCCTGTCTTAGTTTTGACAAAGACATGATTGCAATCACCTCCAAATGGAAAGATTCCACCGAAAGCACAGCCGACGTCTCGTTCAAAGAGAGTGAAAAGCCACGCCTACCGCATCTCGGGGATTTGGTGTATGGAAGGCTTCGCTGTTTTGCACGGCACTAAATGTTGAAGACCGCGCTAATGGGACCAGTGCTGTCAGTCACTCGTCACTATTCTATAATGCTACTATAATTCTGCTAACAAATGCGCAATTAGACACACCTCATGTACCCAATGTGAGCGCAAAACTTGTATGTAGCCACAATTCCATCCTCGAACTGAAGTGGCCGCGGGAGTCTTGTAGCCTCGAGACGATCAGACAGTCAGAGCTTGTTCATACCTTTGCAGTCGTACACACGAGGACGGCCAATTAACCGGTATTCCAGGATATGAATGAACGAGCGGAACATCTTGAGTAGCTTACCATGTTTACTGCCTTGTCTGTTATTAGGCTGAACGAAAGGTCCTTCGACATTTGCACAAGTTGTTCCATGAAAGTCTAAGCAGGGTTCGAACCTTTTGATCCCTATTAAATCCACCAATGGCTGCTGCTTCTCAACCCATTCTACATATTGATTAGCTGCGCGCCCCCAGGGGCAACAGAGGCCACACCCAGAAACGACGCTTTTCACCATGCCACAGTGTGCCATTAGTATGGGCGCTCGGACTCTGGAGATAATTTTTCACCATCAGAGTTGGGCACGCAGGCCACCGGGAATAAATGAGGATCTTCTACTAAACGCCCTGAGGCGAGGTCGAGCATAACCACCAGCTGCTTGGCAACTAGTCTAGGCTGCACCTACCAAGTAACTATTAAGCTTCTTTGTAATTCTGTTATCGGGAGAAGCTAGACACAAGCTGAGTTGAACCACTCCGACGAAAAGCGATGAGTAGTGGTGGGTGAATCCGTTCTCCCTAAAATTACGTTCTGGCACAGATAGCGGTTGGCTGGTACGAAAGAATATTGCGCCTCTTAACAGACTCTGCTTGGCGCCTTTCCCAACCAGAGGCACTGTTGTGGCGCCTAATCACTGCGCATCATGCCTACCCAGACGCCCACCGCAACTGCCCGCCCACAAACGGTCATCGACGCGGGTACTCCTATCGCTTCATTTCTGAAGTGCAGCTGATATGAAGCGTTGCTGCATGGATATGTGAACACATAGGTTCAGCCGTACCTGTCAAAGCGGTTGCACGATGCCAACGGGAAATTCGTTCAAAAGTGCCTTCTGTATAGATGTACAATCATCCAATACCGTGCAGAAGAAAAGTGTTTTCGCAGGCCCTTGATCGTTTCACGTCGCTTTCCCGTCATTTTACTCCAATAAAGCACCCCTGCTACTATCTTTGAGCAGATAACGTGATAAATTATCGTGCCTTGTGCCATTAATGATTAAGGAAGCCTCCAAAGGTGGAGGTGGTGTAGCGACAAAGGGCACGCTTACCATTCGCGCGGTTCTTGGTCAAAGTCGCGGGTCGAAGTCGCCGAGGCTAATCAGGCCTTCTACCCCCCGGGAATGGTAAATGGTACCAGATTCGTCTGGTAGGAGAGGATAAAACACTGACCCGTACAACGGCTGGCCCCGCAAGTCACTGTATTGATTCCTAATGGAAGCAAAACGCGTGCCGGATCCCGCAAAGGTATTGATCAACGGCCAAGACTTTATTCTTTATTCCTGCCTTTATTCCTTTATTTCTGCCTTAAAGCACTAAACTTTTTCCAAAAATTGCTAAGCTTGCTTCCGCGTTAGGGGCCAGCTATAGGCGCAAAACGCTGGTCATAAAGATGGTCCTCGAAATTAATACCGATGACAAATACTGACCGGCTTACCTTTTTCTTGTTGTAGTTGATAGTAGTAGTGATGCCGAGTTGCAAAGAAACTAAAAGATGCTAAATCGCTAAACGATGCTAACCGTTAAATAGCGCCGACGTGTTATGCCGATATTATTTCA